AGCCACGGGGGGAACAATCTAACCCACAAAACTTTACTCTGAATCACTGACTTGATCGTCGGAGGGGTCGGGCCGAGCTGCCGTCCCGACCTGTGTGCAGGTACTCGACCGAAGCTGGCCCTACTCGGCATCACGGAACTTTCCAGCCAGACCCCCTACAGCGGCCCCAAGGGAAGCCACGTCTGATCCCAGCCATTCGGAGCCCCGAACCAGTCGCGTCGACCCCGAGGTCACGGCTAAAAAAGTTACTTACCGTAACAGATTGGCGCTAGAAGGAGGGCCCCGAATGTCAAGCGATCAGCGAATCCACTTTGGCGAGCCCTCGGCCGTCGGGCTCCCCACCCCGGGGGAACACCCCCCGCACGATGAAACCCGTGACGAACGCCCCGCAGCGGCGTCAGAACATTACTGGCAATTGTTCAATGACCCAGGCTTGTCACCTCCCGATGGCGCACCCGCCGGCTCATCATCGGTGTCTCCCGAGGCCTTTCACGACCTCGCTCATCAAGTCCGAGCCCTGACGAGCCTGGTGCAGACCATCATCCCGATCGTCTCCCAGCAGACACCTCCGCATACGGCTCGACCTTCGCAGCAACAGGAAACCCTCGTCCGTCCTCACGTACCCCTTCCCGCGCTCCCTGGCTCGCCTCAGAACTCGATAACTCGGCCCGGGAGCCGGGAGGCGGAAGACGCGGCGAGCCGTCCCGAGCGCGAGGCTCCGTCTGCCGACTCTACAAATGCCCTACGAGCTCAGTTGCGCCTCGTCAGTCAAAGACTCGACGAAGTACAACAGGAAGTCCGTAAGTCGAAAGGAGAGCTCGGGGTAGACGGACAGCAAGGATCCCCGTTCACCCCCGAGATCCAAGATCAGGCGATCCCGTCACACTTCCGCCTCCCCTCGCTGGACGCGTATGACGGCGCCGCTGACCCAGCGGACCATGTGGCCGCTTTTCGCGTTCAGATGGCGCTATACGGGACTTCCGACACCTTAACGTGTAGGGCATTCCCAACAACTCTACGGGGGCCGGCCCGCGCGTGGTACAACAGCCTGAAGGCCGGGACCGTCGTCTCCTTCGATCAACTCGCCAAAGATTTCGAGCTTAACTTCCTGGCTCATGCTCGACCAAAGCCGTCCGTGGCATTGCTCCTCGGGCTCAACCAAAGGGAGGACGAGCCCCTCTCCCATTTTGTGAACCGCTTTACAACACAAATTTGCGGATTGTCGGATGCTCACCCCTCTCTCTTGATGCAGGCATTCATGACGGGCCTGCGGCCCTCCAGGTTCTTCTGGTCTCTCGTGGAGTGGCCCCCCGTCACGGTCCCCGAGATGCTTCAACGTGCTAGTCAGTTCATCGCCGCGGAGACTTGGATGGCCGGGTAGCGGGAGGAGCACAAAAAGGTCAAGTCGGAGCCACCCCGACAGCAACAACCCGCCGCCTCCCGGCGAAAATCGGACAGATCCGACCCAAGGCCTCCTCTCCCCGCCTTGAATTCGTCCCGAACCGAAATATTCCTTCACGAGAAGGGGAAGGGGCTACTCAAGGACCCTCACCCGATGAGGAACTCGCGGGAGCTCGCAGACCGTTCAAAGTATTGCCGATTCCATCGGCAGCACGGGCACGACACTGAGCAGTGCCGCGAGTTGAAGAGGCAAATTGAGGAGCTCATCCTCAAAGGTCACCTCGGCCAATATCTCCGGCCGAACAAAGAATTGTCACCTCGCCCGGAGGGCCCCATCGAGCGACACATCGATGTGATTGCCGGTGGCCCCGCATCAGGGGGAGGCTCCACGTCGGGCAGAAAGGCGTACGCCCGAGCCGCTACAGACGAAGCCTCGGGACGCGAGCCCGAGATAACCTTCCCGACCAGAGTGTCCGAGCGACCCGATCACGACGACGCCCTTGTGATATCGGCCAGGGTAGCCAACGCGCATGTGAGAAGGATTATGGTCGACACGGGGAGCTCGACCGACATACTTTACTTCGACGCCTTCCAGAAGCTTGGCTTGGCTAGGGAGAATCTGAGCCCGATGTGCTCGGCGCTCACCGGGTTCACAGGAGATTTGGTATCGCCCCTGGGGGCTATTATCCTGCCCCTGACCCTAGGGGCCCCACCGAGGTCGAAGACAGTGATGACCACCTTCCTGGTGGTCGACCTTCCCACTGCTTATAACGCCATACTCGGTCGGCCGACCCTCAACAAGGTCAGAGCCGTCGTCTCGACCTACTACCAAACCATCAAATTTCCGACTCACGCTGGGGTCGGAGAAGTTACGGGAAGCCCCCGAGAGTCCAGGCGGTGTTACCTGACCGCCGTTTCTTTACGCAAGAGGGCCAGGACTGAGCCACCGCTGGAAGATCTGCGGGAAACAAAGAAACTGGCCCCTCATCCCGAGCCAAGGGGATCCACCATTGACATACCTCTGCGAGAAGCTCGGCCAGACCAGACAGTGAAGATCGGTTCAGAACTGCCCGAGCAGGAACGAGAGCAGCTCGTTGGACTCCTGCGGGAAAATGCCGACGTCTTTGCCTGGTCCCCATCGGACATGACGGGTGTCGACCCAGAGATCGCACAGCATCATCTCAACATCCCACCGGACGCTCGTCCGGTGAAGCGAAAACCCAGGCGGCAGGCCCCTGACCGACAATGCGCCATACAAGAAGAGGTGGGCCGACTCTTAGCAGCGGACTTAATAGAAGAAGCCAAATACCCACAATGGCTATCCAATGTAGTCCTCGTGAAAAAACACAATGGAAGCTGGAGGATGTGCGTTGACTACACCAGTCTCAACAATGCGTGCCCTAAAGACTGCTACCCCCTCCCGAAGATCGACCAACTGGTCGACGCAACGGCCGGACACGCACGCCTCACTTTTATGGACGCCTATTCGGGGTACAACCAGATCAGGATGGCGCCCGAAGACAGAGACCATACGACTTTCCTCACCGATCAAGGAGTATACTTCTATAAGGTCATGCCGTTCGGGTTAAAAAATGTCGGGGCCACATACCAGAGGACGGTGAACAAGATGTTCGCCCATCAGATCGGGAGGAACATGGAAGTTTACGTGGACGATATGATTGTGAAAAGCCAAGAGGCCGGAACGCACTTTGCCGACCTGGCCGAGGCATTCGCCACACTGCGCAAGTTCGGTATGCGACTCAACCCCACTAAGTGCGCTTTCGACGTCTCCTCCGGGAAGTTCCTTAGGTTCATCGTGCACGAAAGAGGAATTGACGCCAACCCGGAGAAGGTTCAGGCGATAATCAATATACAGTCCCCCCGGACGATTAAAGACCTACAACAACTCAACGGAAGGCTTGTCGCCCTGTCTCGCTTCATCGCCCGATCGGGCGATCGCTGCCTCCCATTCTTCAAGGCGCTCAAAAACCCGAAGAACTTCTAGTGGACATCGAAATCCGAGGAAGCTTTCAAACAAATGAAGCAGCACCTGGCCGGCCTCCCCCGACTCGCCTCTGTCTCTCCCGGGGAGAAGCTGAGCCTCTATTTAGCGGCCTCCCCACATGCAGTCAGTTCCGTCCTGACCAGGGAAAGCTCCGGCCAGCAACTCCCGATCTACTACGTCAGCCACGTCCTGAGCGGACCCGAGGAGCGTTACCCGCCGATAGAAAAACTCGCACTCGCCCTGGTGCTCTCAGCTCGGAAGTTGCGCCCCTACTTCCAGGCACACCCGGTGGAGGTCATCACCGACCAACCTCTTCGGCATGTCTTAACAAAATTTGATGTTGCAGGGCGGCTCCTCAAATGAGCGGTGGAGCTCGGCGAGCATGATATAAGATACGTGCCCAGGACCGCCATCAAGGCCCAGGCGGTAGCCGACTTCATCGCGGAGTTAACTCAGACGGAGGACCGAGATCTCGAGCAAATCCCCGAGGCTTGGACCCTATATGTGGATGGCTCGGCCAGCTCAAGGGGCGCCGGCGCGGGTTTGGTCCTT